GATGTAGTAAAGTAAAGATTTTCTCATCCGAGCTATCACATGCAGAGTATCCTGAAATTGATAATTTGTAATACTGAAGTGCTCTTAGTTGAATGTCGCCTTTGACACGTCGGTAATTCTTGTCATCACCAAAATCATGAGAAATTTTTTTGCGACATGAGCCTCGAGATATGACACAAACTCACCTCGAGACTTCTACTAGGTAGTCGCCGTGCGCGAGAGATCTGCATATCTTCGGAGCGCAATTCTGACATTTCATTGTTGAGATGGATCGAGACCTCGGGAGAGACCTATTGTGTCCACTTACAAATCTTATCACGTACCAAACGACGATAGACAGAAAACTGATGGCAGATAGGAGCCTGGAAATGAGAGTAGGAAAGGCCACAGACCTTTTCAAGATATGCAACGATCTGTCTTTCCCCAAGAGCATTAGGCAGGTATTATGTGTGGCATTCTGAGAGCCTTTTAAGCACTTGTCATCGCGCCTCCACGAAGACCTCGCCCATAACCGCATGGCCCCACTACCAAATCAGAATAAAGATTTCATGCCCAACTCATTGTCCATAGAATAGAGATGTGGCCGGGGCCATCTGAGATGTGTACCAAAACTTCAAAAATCTAAAGGTGGGCGAGGACGATTTGCTTTTAGCTTTCAATATACGCCTTGTCCCCACAACAGCCGTGATTCCTTCAATATGAAGTCTCTAAGTGGACCCCTCAGACGAGTATATTGATGCGAGGAGGTCACAGACCACTTGAGATGTGCAACAAATTACATCCTCTTCTCTCGGGGGTTGCTTCCTTTTTCGTGGAAGTGTCATCTATGTTGTCTCGTTGATTTAGTGTTTCAGTGATGGCCCATTTTGAAAGTCAAAGAGTAAGAAATTGGCTCGTAAACGGAGCTCATTCAACTGGAAATGTCTTCCCCTTTCTTTCAGGTCGCCGATTAAGAGATGCAACAAAACCAGATGCCATTGAAAAGAGGTGGATAGTATGTTTCTCCTAGCTCTGACACGCGGTACCGCTTCGGCCTCAATCGCACTCGCCTTTGTACCGGAGGATCCTGTTCTTGAACTCTGTACCAAAGGCCATCGCTGACCTGGCATAGGTGGAAGAATTAATCGAATCGCCGACTAAGAGATGCAACAAAACTTGCCATTCATTCAACTCCTGGTCGTCCCTTATCCATAGCAAGAAGTATCATGACTCGTGAGGTTGATGGTAATGATTAAATGGAGTCGTAGATTGAACTTTCATTCTACCAAGTGGATACTCGGCGACCTTTATGATAGGCCATGTGATATTAATTCAGAAGTGAGAAGAAGTTTTCAGGTCGCCGACCTTTTCAGATCTGCAACAAAACTCTGTCATGACGGTTTGGCGGTATCATCTAGCTCACATCCACTTAGCACCGGATCTCGGTACATCTCACTAAATCCCGTGAATGTCCCATCAAGTTTACCCTTGTCGCCGACATCAATCCTATGCAAGGAATAACCAGGTCGCCGACCTTTTCAGACGTGCAACAAATCCCATTCTTACCTTTAAGCAATCAACGTTTAACTTCTTCAAGATGAAGGATCCGTGAGAATGTCTTGGACTATCGTAAATATCGGCTGATCACCGAGATCAGACTTGTATCTTTTCCGGAAGTTTCTCCGAAGCGAAGGAGCGGTCGCCGACAAGGTCAACACAAATTTGAGTACCATTGGATGAGATTTGTCGACGCCAAGTCTCTGTTTCTGTTTGCGTCTCGCCTTAAGGAATCAACATGGCTCTTCGGCGTTCTACGGGGAACACAGTACGGAGTAAACGATCTTCTGCAGCCTCCCGAAAGTGACAGGTATCCACTATTCTTGTCACCCGTGAAACCTTGGAACCCTTTTTGACCGTAGGTATCAGCCACTACATTCAAGCCACACTTTCTGCATGAAAACTTCCCGTGGACCAACTCGCTGTTCCTCCCAACTACCTCCAGCTACCTCAATCGCTCTGATACCTTTGAGCAACTCTCCTCTTTTCCATAAACGCTCCCCATGTTGCCACATCATCACGACCCCATTCACGACCATAACCCATAGTATCTCAATAATACCCAATGATTAAATTGATGCGACCTCCGAAGCGGCCTTTTTTTTTCTATAGCGTGATATCCTTGCCGAGTGGACCTCGGGAGCTACAGGTGTCATGTCTTACAATTTTCCCGATAATGAGGTCGGCGGCCTTTGAAGATATGCAACATTCCCTACGATGGACATTACTTAGAGTGAGTAAGCCGGGGTTCAACGAGCGGTAAAACAAACTGTGCTCGGGGGTAAGAGGGAATGGTAATAAGTCAATTAAGAGATCTTTCCCGCAACCCTTGAAGCTACCGTGTTTACTGTCTTCTATCTTTAGATCTTCTTTCGCATTCGCTTCCATACCCTCACATTTTCCAAGTGTGTTCGCTCACGAAATACCTTGCCAGTGCAAGGCGAGGGTCAAGGCCATCTGAGATATGCAACAATCGCGGGTTTCCTACTCTTCATCTGTTGTGATAGGCGCAACTGTTTTCAATAGTCTGTTGAGGCCTCTCGCTCAAGGTGGTCGCATTCGAGGCCGGAGTGGAGAAACTCTTCTGGCACTCCATGTTGATGCCCAATGGTAATCAGTTCCTAGCGTAGTGTCCATCTAAGATAATTCTTACCTGCATAATCTCTTCTGATTTACTCCACCCGAGAACATGGCTTGACCGAGGGCGACCCAAATGAGATGTGCAACAAAGTCGATGTTTGCGTCTCACAGACTTGGCTGGGGTGTTTGTGTAGTGCTAGCAAGCGTTTCCCTTAACCCAGACCCCTTTTTATCTGTGTGGGCTAGACGCTAGCAATCAATGGCTTCTTGAGCTGGACATCTACTTGCTCTCACACTTTATCTCTGAGCAGATAGTGAGGTGGTAAACATACATTCCTACAAATCCGAGTCTCAATAGATTACATATTCACTTTGATGGAAAATATGCCCCGCAATCCCGAGTACAAAAATATGAGAAAGAGGATTGAACATACACTACTATCGCTTCTTCGCCATCGATCGAAAAACGAAGACAGTCCGGGATTTGGGTAAATGGGCTTTGTGTCTCTAGTAGCCTATCAGTCCGTCAAATCAGGATACTAATCTCACGAAATGTGTTGAAAACTCATTAGAGACGGCTTATTATTTTTAGAGCAATTTATCAAGCATTCATGCAGAAATTTATGGTAACCCCTAATGCCTCTATCGGTAGTGTAACCTTAAGACGAAGTATAGCATAAGTTGTCTATTCGAAGGAAGGCAATGTGCTTTGATATTTGCGCAGCTTCCATAAGATCAGACGCCGCGACAGGAAGACCACTTCAAAGGCTCACAGTCGGTAATAGGCGAGACCAATAGCCCAGGTACCTAGTTGTTGACCGCAGTAATTCTGATAACATAGTGGCAAGAGCATTGCTTGCGATGGTATAGGTTGAAGTGAAGAGCAAACCTCATGGGTTCGTGGAAGATCATCAGTGCCAGTTGTCCAGGGAGAATTTCTGGCCCCAAGACCGACCGAATTGGTCTTCGGAGCCAGTGCCACAGAAGAATTACTCGGAACTGGAAATATTGACTTATCCCGTCCTTGGGCAAAAGAGTAACTGTGAGAGAGTGAGCCCCTGGAGCGGTAAAATCGCCCAAAATAGCTGCTGAAGAGATTTTGAATCCCGGAATGAAGCAAAAGTATCAACTGCTTTTGGAGCTATCAATGCATGTCCAAATGAGGCCGGCATGTCCATGAGTTGGTCACTGGAGTCGAGGTTTATACAGGGGATATAGACCTAATCACTTTCTGCGAAAGCAACAGATATAGTTCAGCCAACAACAAAGAGGAAATTCAAGAAATCCATGGTTCATCTTTCTTGCTGAGAGATTTATGAACAACAATTGGGGTGAACGGACCAAGGGCAATCTAACAGTGGAGAGGAATGATTGTGGTAATACGGATGTTTAGATTATAACAGCCTTCTATAGCAAAACTCGAGCGCAGAGACCTCAGTCATTCTTAGGTCACAATCTCTAATCTCTAAACAACTTGATATCAGTTGACTAAAATTCTTGGTTGTAAACCATACATCGACTTCAGCGTTTGTAGGATAGGGGCTGGAGCATGCTGGGATAAAAGTCAGTGTTTTAGAATAAGGGAATATACCTGTCAAGTTATGGTATACGATACCATTGCTTCAATGGTACAAAATAGGCTGTAGTGCGGTTTATGACCGGGCTTTCATCAAGATCCAGATGATCTCATCGACACACCGGAACCCAAAGCAAAACAGAAACCGAACTGGCGATACGCAACTACGATGTACCGACATATCAAGAAGATATTGCTTTATAGATTATTGTGCAGAGTCTCAAAGGTATGACTAGGGTAGATATGAAACTTGACTTTCAGCTCTTATTGAGACCAGCGCTCTACAAAGCTTGGTTAAGAAACATAGCACTGCCTCGAATCACGTGATATGATCATATGGTAGTCATGCTGACCAGTCGCCCTGTAGAGCAGACAGATCAGAAGCATCGAGTAGAGTTGCTAACATGACATTCGAATCATCGTTAGACTAGTCTTATGTTTCACTCCCGAGGGAACATATGCATCGATATGTCAATATGCTGATGAGTATTTAGAATTACCTTCCCAAGCTACTTTCTGCGACTAAGGAATGAGAATACGAGGAGCTTCCTTTATGATCGATCCATCTGGATACCTCCAATTACCTTTCAAAAAAGTACAGCACTAGATGCATTCTGGAGAAGAAGGAGGAGATGACCGATGATGGTCTCGATATATGGTGTGTATTAATGTAACGTTGAATGCAGTCAACGTTAGAATAAGCAACATTCTTCAGATCTTCCAAAAACGGTACCTACCTACCGAAAGCCAAGCAAATCAGTTCAAGGATCAACCTTTAGTTCCGATTAGTCATAAAAAGCAAGTTCTTCCATCTTATCAAATAATCTGTTTGTCCCTCCAAAATTTATATTTTCGATACCAATAACTCATTTCAAGGCCTAGTATATACAAATTATTTCTGTCATATCCCCAGATTTTTACTAAATCATGCGATATGTCTCAAGATTTATCTGCCGGCGTGGTAAATGATCCAATATCGATTTCGTACGAACTCAGATCCAACCCTCACCATAATATTTCTGATCTAAATGCGACTACGGATACTAAAGAACAAGAAGCCACTACGGCTAAGATGAATTTGGAATCATCCACAACTCAAATGTTGGATAACGTATCCGCATCTGCACCAGATCCACAAGGGCTTAATGCTCCAGACGTTCATTCGCAATCATGCCTTGGCCTAGTCGAAGAATCTGCCGTTGATAACGAGTCAAAGTTGATAATCGATACGGCAACGGCAACAACAGGAGGGGCAGTGATTGCGGAAAATACCACTTCAGGTAGGACAACCGCTAATGTTTTAATCTTTGCATCATGTGAATACTCTGTAGTGGAAAGTACATTCTAATCATGCCTGCTTCCCAAATAGTCGTACCACCAATACCTACCGTACGACCACTCGAAAATATAAACGCCCCGACCGAAACCCAGCCCTCTACATCTGCGACCACTGCCACAACCACAATATCTCCTAATACTGAACAGCATTGTCAATCATCAAGAAACTCTATTATTATAGACCCACAGACTTCAAGCAGCAATCCTACTGCGGATCTCGCGAATACCCCGAATAAAGATATGAATGTCGTCAAAATCAAAGCAGCTCGTCGGAAAATGGCTCGCGTCAAGGCACATCCAAATGCCTTGACAGTCTATGAGGCTGAGCTGACAAGTAAGGACAGGGCGACTCAAAAAGAAGCAGTTCGGCAATACTTGGAGAAGAATGTGAAGCAGGACTGGACTTGGACCTGGCCAGCTGAAGAAAATGAACCTATGGATATAAAGGATGCATTGCTTAAGGAGCCTTCTTTGAATGAGCTCCAAGTTGCCAGTACGGATAGCCCTGCGTATAAGGAAGAGTGGCGAGAAAGAGACGAGTGGGAAAGCGATCCCACCGAGAGCGAGAGTGAAGATCCTAGTTCGCCCAAAGGGCCCGTCAATATCAATTCTCCAGACAGAGAGAGCCCTTTCAGGTTTGACAACCCTGATGGTGTAGGTCAGTTGGTCAAACAAAGAAGAGCTGCACGAAGACGCCGACACAAAAAGAAGCTTGCCGCGGAAATGGAATGGAACACAGGAGTACACTGTTATGTAGAAAGACGTGATGCATGGACTTGCGCCCGAAGTGTCCCTCCTCCATCTGGACGGGAACTCCAAGGCATCGAAAATTTACCAATTCATTCAAATGGAAATTCACGCAAACCTGTGGATGATTCATCAGACTCAGAAGGATGGGATACTGAAGTGCCAATTGCCAAATCTCTACTACCACCAGATAATGCAATGAGAGCAAGCATCACCCCTCAAGCTTACAGCACCATATACGACAAAGTTATCCTACAATCACTGACACCTAGTTGTCCTATCAATCTATCCGATGTCATACAGAGCTGCGTGCAAGGATGGAAACGGGATGGTGAATGGCCCCCTTCTTCATCTGTCCCTGAACCTGGTTTTGCGGCGAAGACAAAGCAAAGGAGGTTGAGCATGCTGAGCATGTTAGGGCTAAATGGACCCGAAGCGAAGCCAATTAGTCCTATGGCAGAAAAAAGTCCACAGACGCCAAGTTCAATCAAAAAGGGGTTACAAAAGTTCTGGAAACGCGGAGACAAAACCAAAGGTACGCCTGAGGGTGGGGCGGGAGCTTAGAATTTTGATACAGAAGAGCTACTGCATATATCCTATCAAATGGGTTTTAAGGGAATGGCATGGCATAGCATAACCTGGCGTTAATGAAGGGCACTCAGGGCGATATTCGGTATGAAGTTACGAAGGGCATGTTGAATAAGCGGATTTTATGAGGCATAATCACTGTTGGATCAGGTTGTCGGGCTAGCATCATTATTATGAGATTACCTCCGGACTATTAATATGATCATTATCTTCTAATATTTACTTTAGGAGCTTCAAGTCAATATCTTAGGCTTCCTCAGATTCGCCCTGCCTTCTTGCTCATGAAACTAATACCATGTTCCAAGCCTAACACAAATGCGCAGCTTTCTTCAAATAACAAACACAAACGTTCCAGCACAAATCACTTCACTCCCTGTATGAAAACTAAGATCTCCCACTTACAGCGCTTGTGTTTTATACGATTCACTCCTGCTACTTCTGCTACCCCTACTCCTACCACTATTCCCACTTTCATTCACACTCCGTTCAGCATTGGTATGTGAAAATGCATGATCTCATACCATATCTCGCAATTTGGGCTGTGGCGGTAGTTTGTTAAAACGCGGGAAGCTTCTGGGTTGTGGTAAAAGGGGAGGATGGGGGGGAGACCCAGAAGAAGGTGTGTTGTTTGATGTTGGGTGTTGATGGAAGAGGGAAGAGGGCAGTTGAGTATTTGTAATGGTATTTTCTTATAGGAATGCTATTGGGGGGAGTGAGCAGCTGAATTGTGCTGACTACTATGCTTTGGAGTCGGGGACGTTTTGTGGGAAGATGGGAAGCAAGTCCTGTTCACAGGTAGTCAAAGATGCGTGGAGGTAGACAAAAGAGACTTGCTGGGATTGAAACTGGGACTGGATTTGTTGATCTTTTTTTATAACTTTTTTATCGTACTCGAATGGATTTTCAATATGAGGATGATTCTGTTCTGAAGGTTCGATGGGTTGGGAGATTTGTTTCGTGAGCACTTGCTCCCGTCTCCCCCCTCTCTATCTATTTTCTTCTTCCTTTTCCCCTTTCTCTTGGATATATGCTTTCTAATCTCGATGTCTCCTGATCTTCCCCTTATCTTGTCCTTCTTTTCTCTCCCCTCTCGCAAATAAACTCCTCAACCAATGACATCTCATAACTCCCATCCGAGAGGCTTTATCTTTTTAATCAGACATGTGGAAGAGAGTCTTGATCATTGCAATAGATATCTTTACAATATACTTGATATCGAAATTATCCAGATATGCCGTCATACCCTGGACGAAAGTAGGTTCAAAAGCATCTTCTCTAAGCTCCCACAACTTAGGTTCCGGACTGGGCTGCGGAAGCAACACATCGGATTTAAAAGGACCTCGTTCCTCATCCATCTCTTCAGACTCTTCAACCCCCAGCTGGAGCTGTCGAGTCCAAAACGGACGGCCGGGAGGTTCCGTCAAGCGGGATTGGAGAGTCTCGTAAACATCAGTCAATAACTAGACGGCTCCTTCGTTTGTCCAATCGTACCCTATTCCAGGGTTTATCCGCATGCGAAATTCGAGATTTGATCCCCGAATATCTTTTTTTGGATCATCCATCAATCGCGCTTCGCCAATTTACTCAATCGATATCTTCTCGTGTAAAGTACTTTGAAGAAGTGCCCTAGAAATCCTAGATCGTTTGTCACACTGATATAAGCTTTCCATGCCGCTTTTCTGGCCTCTCTATTGACATGAAGGAGGGGGAACATGAGATATTTTCTTTTGAGGGTAGCTAGACGTCGGAGATGGTGAAGCTCGAAGGTATTCGACCAGTTGTGGGTAATCTCCTTTCTTACGATTCCACCCACCTCGTTATTGCTAAAAAAGATGGTAGTATCCTTAGCGTTGTTGGTATAGAAGATTTTTAGTGCTTCTACAGCGGCATTCTCCCAGATAACACGCTGTACTTCGGGTGGAAGTCCTGAGAAACTGTGGATGTTTTCTTTCTGCTTGGCCAGTGCATGAAAAGTTTGAATATATTCAATGGATAGGGTCGAGAGAAGGGGCTGATATATGAGTTTGAGGTACAATTACAGAATCTGGATAAACTTTGAGGATGTCTGATGATGAATGGTAATTGTGATAGCTGATGGTGATACATGAAGCTAGTGGATTTTTCTGACAATTTTGATGGTAAACTACCCAGGTAAGATACTGTTCAAGGTGTCATGAATCATTTTTCAAGCGGAGTGGTTGAAGCTAGTATCTAGTCAGTTACACCCAGTAGTGCAAATTTGGCATCTTGGATTTCATTACTGATTAGCGCTGACAAGTTTTAGTCTTGAATTTGGGTTTGCCTTGAAGGAAAGAGCCGCCGATGATTTGGATGTTAGTTGGGACTGGAAAGTCACTTCCTCGAGAAGCTCACACGAGGTTTCAGCAACTCAAAAAGATTTTCCATGTCGACATTCTGAGCGGTCTAAAGTCCAACAGGTGGCTGATCGGACTTGACCAGCAGGCAGTCTTATCTACACTTGTTCTTTCATTCTTTCGAAGCAGGCTTGAGGCAAAGCAAAGATAGCATTTGCAGCGTGCCAGGGACGATGGTTACAAAGTAAAGTCACAAACTTATTGACCAAATGACATACTTCAATCCTCTCATAGCAGTACAACTGTACACCTTTCCAGGGCAAGGCTAAACGCAGGCATGGAAAGACGCAGAGCGACACGGCAGTTTCACATACACAAGCTCCAAAATTTACCCATTTAATTGAGACAACTAACAATTCTTGAGTCACGAGCGTAGCAATCACAGAATCTGTCACTGTCAGGCCAAATCTTTATTAGATTCATTGATTCTTTCGTACCACTGTGAGACTGAACAACCACCACCGCACACACAATGAGTATTACTATTAACCCCTGAGTCTTCTTATCCGTGTAAATCAGTGTAAAAGGAGCAAACTTATCCGACAAATCTGCAGCCATCTAATCACCATCGTCAGTATTCTCAGCCTTTGCCCCATCTCGAACGTTCATCTCATCTCACTCTGCCATCTCGTCTAATAAATCTTCTGCAAGTCTTTTATCGATTTCATTCGCTGTGCTTTCAGAGCTCATCTCATCCCACTCTGCCACCCCCTCTTATAAATCCTGTGCAAGTCTTTTATCGATTTCTCTCTCTGTGTTTCCAGAGTTATTCTCATCTATAAAATTTATCAGGCAATATTCTTCATTGACGTTCATCGACGGGGACTAGACTTACCAATAGATTCACCAACACAATCTCCGTCACTCAAAGTGTATTCATAAAGAATTGGCAGTGACTGCTTATCTCTTGCCGTCTTGAACGAACGGTGAAATTTTGGATCCCAAAGCCTGGGTCTCAACTCTTCCACTGGGACTATATCCGTCACCATCCTCTTCAATGCCCCATACTCGTCGAAGATGTACTCAACTTCTAGCTCTCTTTTCATACAATCAATGCATCTTCTGTCATCAAAACCCCCACCCCCCGAACATTTCATTGAGTTTTTTGACCTCGTTCCAGAGGTCTACGTACTCCAGTTCAAGAGGATTGTGGATATTGTACGTTGAGCTATCGAATAAAGGTTTGGATACTTTGATACAACCTTCAACGACCGCCTTCTTTTTCATCACTGAGCTTCTCCGAATTTCGAAGTGTTTTTAACGACTTGAGTGGATCGCTTCCCTCCAAGATTCTATCGTTGAAATGGCCATCTTTGAAATCGGCAACGGACGGGGTTTATACCACAGAAAATAGTCTTTTGAAGGGCATCCTTCCAAAAACAAGAGATCTCTTTAGGACTTCTGTGCGACATAGTGGGAAAGTCTGGCGAGAAACTATTAAATTGCAAGAACAGTTGTATGCTGCGCAAAGATAGTGATGTTGACAAAGAATCATGAGAGCTTAGAAAGGATGACTTACAGTTGATCTAAATACACGTGTCTAGTACTATCAGCATGAAATGATATCAGAGTGATAAGCCATAGTGGCGAATCAAATATAGTGTCAAGTGCAGCCTCGTCATCTAGCTTTCCGTGAAACAATTTTGGGGCCTGTTTCTTTCTGTTTGTCTGCATGTGCATGTGTTCTGTTTTTCTTCAGATTTGAGATAAAGGTCGCATGATATAAAGAAGCTACTGACTTAAGTCATACTGATCGAAGAGTGATATAAAGATCGAGAAACTTCCTTATGGGCCCGCAAAATTGTCTCAATTTCTTCGAGTTTTTAACTACAACAGCAAAGTAAAGCTGCCTAAATCGTGATTCGTGCAACCTCTCAACTTTTTCTCGTGAAGCAGAACTACCTGATAGTCATCTCCTTTCATCCATGATTGCTTTTTTTGTTTCGTTTGGTTTTCTGAAGCAATTCAAATGCAGAGATTGATCAGTTCCAAGATAGCACAGGAAGCACAACATATGCAGTCAATCAAGTCGCCATTGTTATGTTCATTTCCAAATGATCCGATTGGATTGTTCTTCATATTCCATAGCACTTCTTCATCGACGTGCCAGGAACAGACGGAACATGCTCGTTATCATTATACCACGTATCCTGAATCCTACAACATGAATGGTCACTTCCAGAAAAAGGAATGATCCCAAGTGAGAACTAGATGCGAGCTGCATTGGAATTACCTCTAGTTTGATATGATATCATCTGCTAATGTCATGTTGGTATTAGTAGAAGGCTATACACTGAGTTCAGAACTTCAAGTATGTTCAAAATAAACTAGCCTGTATACAATGAGACAAACATGAACCCCAAAAACCACCCATGTCGAATTTATATTTGTCAATCTTGCATTATTTCTGCACCCCAACGGCGTAATCGGCACTCAAGGCGAAGCTAGGAGTTTGCACAATTAATTTCATCGTTGAAACATCTGCCGCGGTAGTCCGCGAATCTAATCTTACATGTAAATCCCCCCAGGCTGATCCTGCATGTCATATTATCATGCAGTGGCTTATCTTGAGCTTACGCGACGAGTAATTCAGGGGGATTGCTGCTAAATCGAGTTACGTATGAAATCAGTACGATGTGGTTACACGCGGCTAAGTCTTTATGGGGGCCACTCCTCTAACCGAGACGGTCAACCGCCTATGTTGTTATCCGCAATTAATTTTTGGAATGAACGCTTTCCTTCAGAAAATCTTCAACATGAAAAGAAAGAGTTAAGAAATGCCGCCGCGGAAGCAGCACAGACGCGTTAGCGCATTCCCCGCGATAGAAGAATATGGAGAAAGTACGCCGACTTCGTCAGTTCCAAGTCCACCCGTAAGAGGTTTGAGGAGAACTACTTTTGTGGAAATATGGCCGAAAAATTTATGTGAAATTCCCTGATTCTGAAGGTTTACTAACAGATTTTGTAGAATGGTCCCACCGAAGTAATTCGAGGAAAGATACCAGAAGATCAAGTTCCTAGCTGGCTTGAACAAAATGGTGATGTGGATTTATCCATTTGAATTACTTATGTTCTGACGTTTTTATAGATGCTTTTGCTCATACAAATAATGAGACATCAAAAATGGGTGCTCTAAGACTGCTGTTTGTGATCTACTCAATCACATTAAGCGTGACTTTATAATCTTGACGCTCGAACTAATCAAAGAACAACAGATTTACAAATAGAGCTTTGAATTCCGATAAAAAAGCTGTTGGGATGACTTTCGGTGATAATACTCTTCAAGTGATTATGAATCGCCTTCAACTTCCAGCGGCGTTTTCTCAGATGTTGGCGCCGGATCAAATTGAACCTCCACGATTCTCTCACAACACTTTATTTGATACCCATGGAAATCATTTGGGCTTGGGTACGTCTTGATTGAGACTCCCGAACTCACTACTTGTCACTAACATAAGCTCACCATTGTCAGCATTCGCAATTCACTTCCATCGTTGGCGTCTTGAATCCATCACTCTTGGTCTATCTTACAACCAGAATACCAAAGTAACCACTGCACTTCTCCTAGAGAACTCCAAAGATCCAACCCATGAGTCGTTTATCCACTACATCCTATTACAATCCACATACCTTACCCATCCGCTCTTCCTTCCTCTAATTCTCGCTGAGCTAATGCTCGACACTCACCGCACGCAATTAGATCGAACCACATCCTGCCTCCGAAACCTGGAATCCGCAATCGGAATCCACGATCATGATTACCATTCCGCCTCATCTCCTTCATACCGCACACCCGATAGATCGCCCCTCCCAGACTTCCCCTTCATCTCTCGCTCGCTAAATGGAGAATCCATTCGTCTAGCCCTCTACGAAGTAAAAGTAAGATCCAACATTCATCTGCTGCAAACCATTCTCCGCGGTCCCTATTTCACAACTCTTCTCCCGATGAATCGACGCATGGTCTAGATGGAACAAGCCAACATCGCCCTCCGAGAAAAATGCGAATTCCTTCTCGGCTGGAACGTCGAATTATCCTCTCGCATCACTGGACAGAGACGAATCGTGAAAATCCAAATAGGTAGCGTGCAAAATTTGCTTATGCAACGGGAATCGAAAATTACTACTTCGATGATGGAGGCTCGGAAAGGTGATGCAAATGCGATTAAGACGGTTGCGTTTCTATTAATGGCGTTTTTACCGGGTGCGTATGTTGCGGTATTGTTTAGTGGATCGATGTTTGATTGGCAGGCGGAACGTATGGGTGGTGTTTTGAGTGAGTGGTTTTGGTTGTATTGGGCGGTTGCGGGGCCGCTTACGGCGGGGGTATTGGGGACTTGGATTTGGTGGTGTAAGCCTTGGCTGTGAGGTATCTTGAAAGAAGATGTGACTGCTTTGTTTCAATATTGATGATAGTTGAGATTGTTTTATTCGGTGTTAACTTGGGGAAGTTGTGCAGTTCTTTTCTTTTTAAAGAATGCCGTGGAAAAGCAAGTAGGCAGAGTGCCTAGAATGGAAATTTTTCTTGTGTGTATACTCGCTATTATTTCACGGGTTGCCATTTGGCGATTGTCCTATAATCAGTATCAAAATAGAGGACTTTCAAGCTTTTCAATCAATAGATTTTGTTTTTCACCGCGAATGGCGTATTTGAGTGTTTTCATTGCCAATATCACTATCACTGCAGCACCGTTATGACCGCAAGCAAGGTCCGAATCTCTCAAACATGAGAACAAACTTGAGTGGATATTTCGAACAACTACAACTGACATTTCGCAGGGCACACGTGTTGAAAATACGCCCAAGATAGAATCCGCAGTATTTCTCAAGGTTCATCTCATCTTCCGTGTAAGTAAAATAGAAGAAATGAAAGATTCAGTTCTTGCGCTCAAATGAGATGCGACGAGTATGGATTTTTTGTAGGGTGTATGCTCTTTGCCGTATCGGTTGTGAGAAGCAAGGTGTTCGGCCAGATTCATAAATTTCTGTTTCCTACTTAGGTGATAGGGTTATTCTTGTTTCAATTTCAAGCTTTTCTTTCTTGCTTTGTTGCATTCTGTTTTATTTTTCTGTGATTGTCTGGAAGTACAGCAACTACTCCATTAATCAGAAGTAGGCAAGATTGCATTAGACTCTGATTGTTCTGCCATACAAATTGGAAACTTACCTTTGTGTTTGTGCTCTTTAGCTTATACTGTGGGACTCATGGCTAATATCTTGAACCAATGAAGATTTTTGTCTTTCATTACTATTAAATTGCATTTAGACAACTAAAATGGATTGGGACATTCGAGCCTCAATGTCTAATCATTACCCGGGCCTTACTCATCTCCTTTCAAATGTAGCTGAATGGGATGAAAGCTCTAAACTACTTGTCCACTGGAATCTCCAATCTCCAAAATCTACTATTGGTAAGTATAGGCTCATGGCCATGACCAATATTGCTCACATACTTGACGGTCTTGACCAGATGTCTTATGAAATGATGCATGGCGTGGTTATGAGTTCGAATTGGGCCATCTTACCATATTGAGATGAAATTGGCAATATCTAACTTATCTGCAGCAGCTGCTACCGCTACTGCTACTGCTACTGCCACACAAATCTGACTATGAAATAATAACTAAAATCGAGTAAATCGGTAACTGTAAAGCTCAATTGGAGGCTGGAGTACGGAAGTAGTAAGCTAGGGCAGTACTATGACACTCTCCACGATTCTTAAGTTGATACAAGGTAGTAGAGTTCAAAGGCTAGCATGCACCAGTACTGAAAGAATAATATGTAGCAATGATGGTCCAGTAGCCTGCGCTAAATTTCAAAGCGCTATAGAGTAGCATCTTTCCAAAACCTGAAGTTCGAATACTGTAATGCACATCGAGCGATTCTCTACATCAAAGAGATAAGTGTGCATTGATGAGGACTCTGGATGGGTGGGCAAAACAATCCAAGGAAAAATCATAATTCTACACTTGATGAACTGTTGGTGATCGTAAATTTCCTGAAAATAGTGAATTTTTCTTAGTTCAGTGTTCGAACTAATTTGTCTTACCATGTGACATCAAAATTTGAATGTATATTTTATGTGCGGTTTGTTCAACCCTCGACCCTCGCACTTCCACCTCCACAATTTTTTTCAACAATCTCAAATCAATGACAAAATGAACAACTCATCAGGCAGCTCATTACGCAAGAGGAAGAATTCCGATGTCAGCGAAGACACATCGTCAACTCAAAGTAAAGTAATCAAGCTTGAGAATTCCGATAATGTCGAAGAGCGCGTCGAGGATAATCATGCCGAAGCTACCATGACGCCTTCAGTCAAGTCTGAAAGATCAACTGTTGAAGTAGAGGAGTTCGATGCGCGATCGCATATTTCGGAACTTTATAGATTTATCATCAGTGAGCGTGCACTTGGCCGTAAGTGCATGACTGACATTTTTCATCCCTAGCCATGGCTGACTAGAATTTGATTTAGGTGCCCCTATGAACATTCAAAGACTTATTAATATAGATTCCGCGTCCAGAAACTTCTATGCGTCGTCTATACGTGATTGGATTGACCAGGAGCACAACGATTTTTTGGAGCGATATAGGACCAAACCAGATAGCAGAACAAATTTCAAAGGAACTCGGAAATACCTTGCGGACATCGGCAGACTTTCACGCATGTCTCGTGGGCTTTCTCTCGCATTCGAGCTTGCACTCTATCTTTGCGAGCACTCATACTTGGCACCAGACAATGGCAAAATTCCACGTACAAGCCGAGTCGCCTGCGGCCCATGCGACTCTCTAGTACATAAACTCTGCTTGAGAATGAAAACCGAGTATCCCAATTTCGAGCCGGAAGTGCACCTGTCTCGCATAAACGACCAACGGAAGCATTTCGAGGCAGATGATGACGGCCTCATACCACACTTGTTGCGAACTGGAGACCTACTAGTAAGCTGGGTAGAAGGACCTTCTGCTGCTCAAGCTATTTATGATAGCACGAAGGAACTGATATTGACCGACTATAACCATATAGTTGAAAAATTGCAATCTGCTGTGGCCAGAAACCATAGTAGCTCTTCACGCAACTCAAATGTCCCTGGTCACTTGGTTCCCAGCGTGGAAAAGAGCCTTCCACAGGTCAAACGACTGTTATCCATGGCTACAGGCAAAGGACTGGCTTTTGACCTGCTTCTGTTTGCTGGTCGGCACTCGTATGTCGAATGCAAAAAGGACCCACTTGGTCGTAAGGTGACTGAGAATTTTGATCAGGCTGCCGATAATCTACTTGTCCAAATTTCAAACGCTATCAAGGAGGAAGATCCAACTTTCAGGCCTGTTGATGCCATGGAAATGCTTATCGAGGAGATCGAAACTACTGGTCATATCGGATATTTCCCACAATCTTACAAACTCTTCTCGTCTTGGATGCCAGAAGTAGGAAAGTCTCATGCACGAAAGGACTACGATGATCTCCACGCAAAAATCAAAAACGCCCATGCTGCTGTTGAGCGCAGACTCGAAATTTTCGTCAAAGATGGATCTCGCCCAACAGTGGATCTGCTTGGCAGGAAGATGGTTGGATTTATCGAAGATATTAACAAACTCAGCATGAAGTTGGGAGGGCTACTTCCTGCCATAGAAATCGCGTTGTTTTTGGGCGAGTGTTCATATACAAAAATGGAAGGATTGGGCCCGCTCTATGGCTGGGATAGTAAAAGCTCATTTCGTTGCAAGAGGGACTTCGATTCTCTGGGAGATAATTGCCTGAAGGAACTACTTCAAAGAGTAAGAGATGCCAGCTTGTCGTTGGATAAGGATTACTACGGGCGTTTGAAGGAGTCTGTTGATTACCTCAGACCATACGGAATCACTACCTACTTCCCGTTGTCCTTTGAACTCCTCCGCCAATTATCTTGAAGGAAGTCATGGAATTGCATCTCCTCTCTTCACGACTCAAGCTAGTCGAAGCGTGCTGTTTACAGGACATCATCAGACGAGGATACAGGAGTGCGGTACTTACTTTTCAGAATCTTGAACTGGCAATGAAATGACATGGGATAAGGCCAAACACATCTGATGATAGCAAGAATAGATAGCTATGATTGAAGTATTTCAGCGATATTAGCAAAGCGCAGGCCAGGATACTGTGTCAAAAGCCATAATAATTAATTTGTTTCACCTATTTTCAACAACTTACAAGTATATCAACTCAAGGTACCTCTTGTCAATGCAAAGTGACCACAGTGTATCTAAGAACAACCAGTAATCAATGGACAGATGCCAAAACTCATGCATATCATAGAGGAGTGAACTATAGAGCTAGAGAGGCGGTCTCTGTCCCAAATTTATATTAGCTTAGAGCATGGCCATTTTGAACTCGCTCTGAGCTAAGATCAACAAAAGTCTTGTCTCACTATCCTGTGCAAGGCTGTATATTGCTCTAGTGAAAATCAGAACCTCGCCGCAGTCTTGGGTATTTGAACCGCGGGCAAGCAAGTAGATCCTCGTTGAACCCACCCACCCCTCGCCTTCGATCGAAGAAACATAAGCTGATGCCAAGGAAGAACTGGTTCGGCTTCATGGATTGCCATTTGATGATCTTCCTTCAAGAGCTCATAGCTCTCATAGTTCACAGCTAGATGTGAAGGAAGATCTTACACAATTTGCAATGAGATCATATCATTAAAATGCTTAGTATGTGAATTTGAATATACAATGGAGTATCCTCGTAGGTAGGACAGTTGAATATAGATTGATGACTGTAAAAATTGGGTTGTGGAGGTTTGTGGAGGTTTGCGGAGGAAAATGAGATAGCATGGAGTGAAGTTCAAACCCACAGCTACCCCTGTCAAAATATCTTGGCGCTCGCGTCCAAACGCGACGTACAGCAGCATTAAAGTAGCAAATTGGTAAATTCCACTAAAACCACAACCACCTTTCATTCACCTCACCTACTTTTCGCCATTTCAAGGATTGAAAATTAATCTTTCAACCAAAAGTCTAGCATTGCACAACCAAAATCCAGGTTGCCTGCTGGCTCTCCCTCCATCCCACTACTCCCCACAATCAACATGGCGGATACACTGCATAATGCTCCTATCGTTTTAGATAATGGTTCCGGTACGATTCGAGCTGGGTTCGCTGGTGACGATCTGCCAAAATGTTACTTTCCCTCGTTCGTTGGGAGGCCAAAACATTTGCGAGTTCTGGCGGGTGCCTTGGAAGGAGATGTGTTTATTGGACAAAGAGCGCAAGAATTAAGAGGACTGCTAAAGATTAAATATCCACTGGAACACGGCATAGTCACAGATTGGGATGACATGGAGAGGATATGGGAATATGTTTATGGAGAAGGTCTCAAGACCTTGAGCGAAGAGGTGAGTTCTTTAGTTCAGGTCTAAAGTGGAGTTGTTTGCTATTGCTTCATATCTGGCAAGTTAAGCAGTAGTAGGTAGATCACTGATACTACTCATGCAGCATCCCGTTTTATTAACAGAACCACCCCTCAACCCCCGAAGTAATCGAGATACGGCTGCACAAATTCTATTCGAAACCTTCAACGTCCCCGCTCTATACACTTCAATTCAGGCTGTCCTTTCACTGTACGCATCGGGGCGAACGACTGGAATAGTGCTTGATGCCGGAGATGGAGTCTCACATGCAGTCCCAGTATACGAAGGTTTTGCTATGCCAAGCTCAATACGAAGGATAGATGTGGCTGGACGAGATGTTACAGAATACATGCAAACTTTATTACGGAAAGCTGGATACGTTTTCCATACTAGCGCAGAGAAGGAAGTGGTGAGAATGATCAAGGAGAAAGTAAGCTATGTTGCAGGAGATCCAAAACGTGAAGAAAAGGAATGGTCTGGTGCAAAGCTGGGGGATGGAAAGGTTGTCGAATACGCATTACCTGATGGTAATAAGATCAAGGTAAGGAATCTGCCATTGATATACATTGACGGCGCTGACTAGTTCACAGATTGGAGCAGAAAGATTTAGAGCACCTGAGATTCTGTTTGATCCCGAGATTATTGGTTTGGAATACCCAGGTATCCATCAGATTGTAGTGGACGCAATCAATCGCACAGACTTGGACCTTAGAAAGTCTCTATTTGGGAACATTGTTTTGTCCGGTGGCAGCACTTTAACCAAAGGTTTTGGAGACAGATTACTTCACGAAGTACAACGATTAGCAGTTAAGGATATGAGAATCAAGATCTTTGCTCCACCAGAGAGAAAATACTCAACCTGGATTGGTGGTAGTATCTTGGCTGGTCTGAGCACATTTAGAAAGGTATGTTTCAAGATCCCTCAAGTCTTCTGGCGTAAGATTACTAACTCATATTGTAGATGTGGGTAAGCATTGATGACTGGCATGAGAATCCCGATATCATTCATACGAAATTTACATAATAAACTCCTGACTCTATCCGCGCTTGTGGCACTCCCAACTCCCCGTCCATCGGCCATTCATCGTCCAAATTCAAATAATAATCGAGTCAAGCCAAACATCCGCTTCCTCGGTCCAAAACTCCACGCAGAATCTTCTTCTACCACATCTTCCACTTTAGCGTGGTTTAATCTGCATATGACCTACCATGCATTCGGCGGCGTATGCAATCTTGTTTGCAGGAATGGAGCTTGGACTCGTTGCTTATATTTATGGATGTACAGCTATGCTACCTGTATGAGAAAAGATAGACTAAATTCATGATACCCATTACTGAAACGTTCATTTCATTGTGCTATAATTAGCAATGTGATATGTGACAATATGATCATTTTGTAAGTCAATGGCGCAGTTAGCACCATAAGAGATTCGTACAAGCCCTTCATTTGTAGGTGGTATCTAAACTTTTATATTACTCGCTCTAGCTCTGAGTACCTGTTTTCTACAGAAGTTGCGAGATTGTGTCAACCAACTCATTTAATTATACATTTCAGAAGATCTTATTTTCCTCCAACTCTTCCGATTCCTTTTCAACTTCCTGAACTGCTTCCTCGACAGTCTTGCGAGTTGTTTGTCTCATGAACGCATCACATAACATGCCAGTTGCTACACTAACATTCAAACTATCGAGTCTGCCACGATTACCTGCACCCTTGATCGAAAGATGCACATCCGCATGATCTCTCAAAGCTTTGCGTAGACCTTCGCCTTCGCCTCCAACCATCAAGATACAAGGATCATCTCGTAAGGGATCTTCAAGGTCGTGGGTCCAGACGAGTTCTTGCGAGGTGGGAGGCCACATGTGTCGCGAATCTGCTTTTCGAGGAGCGGGTGGTGCGACTGCTGCGTAGACTTTCCAGCCGGCGGCTTGGGAATCTTTGATGAAGCCGCCGGGTTTGTTTACGGAGAAGATCTCGATGTTTTCGGCGGCGCCGGCAGAGGCTTTGAAGACGACGGGGGTGAAGGAGGCGCTGTTGCGGGTGGAGATCGCGACGGCGGTTACGCCCATGAATAGTGCTGTGCGTAGAATGGCGCCGAGGTTTTGGGGATCTTCGATGCTGTCTAAGAGAAGAATGAGGGGTTTGCGACCAGTGGAATCTTTGACGACTTTGATGATGGTGTCGTTGCCGTTGACTTCGATTTCTTCGCGGGATTGGTGGTCGGGAGTGAGTTTAATGGCGAAGCTATCATCCTGGTCGATTATTGAGCCGAGACTTATGAGTGGGAGGCGGGGCAGAGGAGAAACTTCGAGTATGTATCCGTTGTGTGGACGTCCTTGGCTCATCTTGTCTAGGGTTCGTAGCCAATCGTGTCCTCTTACTATAGCAACTTCAACTCCTTTCTTTTGAGCTAACTTTGCTATAGCACCGTCTCGCTCTGCATTTTGGCGATCTTCGCCCTTGAGAATGTAAAGTTTGTAGAGCTTTCTGCTTCTTTTGCGTCGCGCGTTCAAGGCGGCTTCGACGACAGATGTTCCGTAAAGGAATTCAGAAGCTGGTGTCGTGTATGGGATGGTGATAGGCATCTTTTGAGCAAAGGTAGAACTTATTTTGGGTGGCGAAAAACTAGAACGCGATTCCGATAAAGGTTCTGAGGGAGGCTCCGAACGAGGAGATTCTGTAGATTTCTCAGATCTGATGGCTTTGGTAACTAGTCTTTCTTCGCGGGAAGGGTATTTTGAAGGGTATGCATGACCCTTGCTCCATTTTGTTGAGCTATCACGCCCTGCCTCGAAGGACTTGCTCGTTCTTTCAGGTTTTGAGTAAGATTTTGGCTCATCCCGCAAACTATTGTCACGAGGTTTGCGCTCATAATTCTTGTCGTCGAAACGGCGTCTTTCTGGAAGTTCTTGAGATCTGTTGAAAGATCTCTTTTCATAACCAGAGCTTTCGCCCCGGGCCTCGAAAGAATCATAAGATTTCTTCTCGTAACTAGATTTGCTACCTCGTGATTCGTTGTACCTGTCAGAAGATTCTCCTCCATACGAAGTTTTGGCCCGAAATTTCTGTGAATTCTCAGGTTTTCCCTCCTTGTAGTATTCCCTCCCCTGACGATTTCCGAAGGGAGAAGGTGACTTATACTCTGACTTCAATGCATCTTCCCGATCACCGCCCTTGAATCGTGTACGCATAGATTTAGTCTTGCTTCCGAAGTCATCGCCGAAGCCCCTATCCTGCCGGGGCTTTGAATATGAATTCGATCCAGGAATCTGAAACCCTCGGCTACCACCATCATCGACTCGACTGGGACGAGCTTTATCCTTCCCTCTAAACCCAACTCCTTTAGACTTTCGAAGCCCACGGTTTATGCCAGAATTGATCGAAGCATATCTTACAAAGCAAGAAGATGAATATAATGGTTGAAGAATATAACCTACTCTTTGAGAAGCTTTTGCTCCTGTTAAAAGTATTGCACTCATTGCATTGATAGTGCCATGATGATATTTCCACATCAATTCTGGTAATAGAAGAAAATTGAGCTAGGAAATTTTAATGGCGGAACATACCGAAGCCGACCACAAGTACGGGTCTCGGGGGTTTAATCCTGGCGTTCATCGACGCGTTGCGTTTTATTATCAGATTCACTTAAATTTATCTTCAATTTGTGAATTCAGGATTGGTCAACATCAGTGAATGTAGGCGTCTCTTTAGATTTCTTTTCTCTTTCGCGCACATTTCTTTCCTTTTGAATTAGCCGTATTTCCTTTTTCTGTTCGCACCCTACAACAAACTTTATAATATGATTCTACCGCGTCAAACGGCCGGTTAACAGTCAAAAACTACCAAATTTACAAAGATCTTTTTGAAAGTTAAATCGCAGGCAACGTTTGATCACCAATATTTTGTCTACTACTTTTAATCTTAGGTACTATACCTCTCTTACTCTATACTGTGTATTCTAATTTAATTCAACTAGGAAACTAAGAATTTCTTTAGCCAAAACCCACGAGTGCGCCAGTCGGTCTTAAACAGGCAAACGAATCCTGCAAGTCTACGAGCAATATGGCTCAACTCAGCCGTGTTGCTGGTAGTGATGAGTCGGAAACCGATTCGGTCGAGTCATTGAATCCTCAAAATTCTCGTAAGCCCACTACAGAACCAAATCGAAATCCCGTTCCTGCATTGGCGCATCAAATTGGAGAGCCTGTCCAAGATTCGATTGAAACAAATGACAATGTAGATGAGGTCGGAGATGACATTGCAATGGATGACGAAGATGAACCGGCGGAAAAAGTGGAAGACGCAGATGAAGACGCAGATAACACAATCGTCGTCATGGTTCCGGGACCTAGGAACCCCGAGGAATACGTTCCATATCAAGACGACACAGTATGTTCGGTACTTGAGGAGATAAACGGTTTGGACGGCGAGACATTGTATCGAGTAGAATACGAAGATGAGAGACAGGAGACTGTAAGTTGAGATTTTTTTTTTGCTTCAGATAAACACCCAGCTCTCGACAGATACTGTGATACCACCCTGTACCCAATTGTACTTTCAACAGTCACCAGAATGTTTGGCTTTTCCAATTTATGCGCACAAAACTAAGTGGCCATCCCACCCTGAAGCATTTGACCTCCTTCCAAAAGAAGGTCAGATTAAGTGGCAAACACAAATTTTGCTACACTACTTCTACCCTTCACGCCGTTGACTTCAACCTTGATTTCGCCACGGAGCTTGACAGGTTTGATAACTTTACTCTTGCCTATTATTGCTAGGATCGGCAAAATTTCAAGTAGTTCTTGTAGTTGAGTTTGCCATGCCCATCTTTGGACTTCAGTTAATCACAATAAAATACTTTTATTGAGGTCAACCTCGATCTATCATATATTTGTCCACCTGCCCATCTCCTTTACTTGAGTCAAAAGTCACTTCTTCAGCCATTTCCAGTATCGATAGAGCCATCTGAGCTTCCCGTAGTGGGCGGCAGCAGTGAACTGCACGTATGTATATTGATGAAGACTTTCTTCATGTTATCTCATAAGTCTTTGCACAAGAGGGTATCACTTTTAGAGTCAAACTCTGACTAAACAAAATCACAGATCACGCTCAATAGGCTATTCCACCTTCCAAATGGCAACAACTCTTTGAACGAGTTCAATAGCAGAGAAGGCTCAGAGGCGATTACGGTTGATAATCCATCAAATTCTAGTCGGAGCATGTCTTCCAGAGCTGGCAAACGCACTCGCCGCCAACTAACTAACAACAACTTTGTCGACATCAGCACCATTCAGCTAAGCTCTGACGATGACAACCTCCCGAAGAATGAAAAGAAAAAGCGTCGTCTTGTCAACAACATGTCAACTGCTGAAATTGAAAAGGCACGACGAAGTACTCGTGCTGGTAGTCGACAGTCTTCGCGACCCATCCTCGATGATGATGAGGACGATGAGGATGACTCGCAATCGGGACCTGTTTTCTCAAATGGCCATGGATCTCGAAAATCAGGACGTACTGCAACAAGATCTGCTGCTCCCAGGAAAGCAAACACTCTCGCTAATTACATGGAAGAAGACGAAGAAGAAGAGGACGAGCTTGCCGGTGATTTGCAAGTCGAATCTGAAGGAAGCGAAATTGCATATGCTATACCCAAGAGACGACGTGCAAGTAGCGCTCTAGCCTCGAAGCCTGAAAAGCGTGGACGTCCACAAACCCATGGTATCAAATCTGATTATAATTCTAAGTTGTCTAAAGAGCTCCCGTCTCGTATATCGAGGCGTGGAAATAAAACTGGAAAAAATATGGAAGAAGTTGACATCGATGAAGAAGTTTATGCCGATGAAGTAGCTGAGAAAGCCGCACCTAAAGTCATAAGCATTCGAGAGATCTATCGACCAATATCCGCGAAGTCTTCCTTTGCTTTGGTCCATGATCAAGACTGCGATGTTTGCGGTGGAACCGGCAAGAATTCCAATAAAGGACGAAGTGAACTCATTTACTGTCAAGGATGCTCTTCGTCAATACATAGAATTTGTCTAGGATATCGGGCAGGTCGGGACCATATGGTCACTAAAGTTGGCCACGAACATTTCGTCATGCAGTGTCGACGCTGTATCGGTCTGTCCGTCAAGAAAGATCCTCTCGCCCCTCACCTTGGTGCTTGTAGTAGCTGCCATGAACCTGGAGCATCATGTGCTGCATTTTCCGTCAAGAAAACCGCGAAGCAGGAAGAAAAGTTGAGGGAGGAAAATGACGGCGATGACCCAGTCACCACTGTCCGCGAAGATCTTGTCAATAATCCAGAAAATGTTCTATTTCGATGCCGAGAATGCCA